ATTTGTGTAGTAAGTAATTAAAGATACTGAAAAGAGCAGAATACGACAAGTTAACAGACATTTTAGGTAGATGTTTCTTGTGGCAATGCAAATACTAGATTAGAAACACAAGAGACCAGAGTCCTAGGGATCTGTTAGAAACTTATTACAAAAGCCTAGGGAAGAGATGTTAAGGACTCACTGGAATTATGGAAGAGAAAATAGAAATAAATCAAAGGAAGAGTGATAGAGCTGATATATGAAAAGTACGAGAGACGAAAAATATATGAAAAGTACAAGAGATGGCTCATTCATGTACTTACTTATTCATTCGACAGATAGTTTTTCAATTATCATGTACCAAGCAATTTGCTTGGTACTGAGAATTCAGGGGTGAACAAAATAAACATCCCTGCCCAGAGCATATGGCTTAGTGTAAAGAGAGATAATTTAAGCAAGTAATCATAAGAAGAGATGCTGAATGCTATATTATGAAAGTAAAGGATTCTATAAAAATGCATATCCATAGGACTTAGTGTGATCTAGAGGGCTAGGGGATGATGACGTTGAGGTTGAAATCGAAAGAATGAGTAGGATTAGCCAGGCCAAATCAGGGGGAGGGAAATTTTGGAAAAGAGGAACAGCATGTGGGAGGGGGATTATTGTAATGAATGACTGAGTTTAAGGCTGAGCAAAGGTAAGAAAATGGAGAATGCAAATAAAAGCAACCCATTCAAGAAGTCTGACTGTTGAAAGAGATGGATTTTACATGAAATAAAAACAGAATTGTGGTTTCCACTTTTTAAATTGTGTTACAATTTACATACAAGAAAATACACAGGTTTTAAGTGTACAGTTCAAATAGTTTTTAAAACAAGACGGTCAAGTAACCGCCAGCTCATCCAAGGTATAAAACATTTTCATGATCCTGAAAAGCTCCCTGACGCTTCTTTCAGGTCAATGCCCCAAGGAAACTGCTCTTCTAATTTCCATCATTATTGCTTCGGCTTGCTAGCTCTAGAATTTTATGTGAACGGAAGCGTACGGCACATTTTCTTTTCTATCTGGCTTCTTTCATGTAACATAATATTCTTGAGATGTATCCATTGGTGGTGTGTAGCTGTAGTCTGCTGCTTCCTATTGCTGAGTAGGGTTCCACTGCATGAATACGCCACATGTTGTTAGTCATCTGCTGGTGACTATCTATCTATCATATGTAAACAAGTCTTCGTTTGACCCTATCTTTTTATTTTTCTAGGACTGACTAATGGATTATAGCCTAAGTATACACTTGAGAAATAATCTATACAGCAAATCCCTGTGACATGAATTTACTTATATAACAAACCTTCACATGTACCCTTGAACCTAAAAGTTTAAAAAAAAGAAAGAAAATACCACTGTTTCTCAGTGTTACTGTATCATTTATCTTTCCCCCCAGCAGTTCACATGAGTTCCAGTTGCTCCACATCCATTCTAGCAGTTGGTATTTTCCACCTTTTTTAACTTTAGTAATTCTAGAGTAAGTTGTGAGGTTTCAGTTTATAATTTCCTGATGACTAATAAAATTACACATTATTTCATGGACCTGTTAGTTGATTGTGAAGTGTTTATCTAAGAGTTTTTGAGTTTTAAAAGAGATAAGGTGAAAATATTTATTTATTTATTTAATTTTCAGAGACAGAGTTTTGCTGTGTTACCGAGACTGGTCTCGAACTTCTGGGCTCAAGTGATCCTCCCACCTCATACTCCTGAGTAGCTGGAATTACAGGCGTGGACCACCATGCATAGCTAAGGAGAGAATATTTTGTTGCACAAAGCCACGAATCGGGTGGGAGGGAGAAGTTGAAAATACAAAAGAATAATAAAATTAAGGAAACAAGTTACTTTTGAGAAGCAGATAGTGTATTCAAAGTTTGTTACTTCTATTACAAATATTGGATCACTGATATATTTACTTTTCCAATCTTGTTGAATGGGACTGAGAAACATTCTGACTTTACTACTGATAGAACTGATTTGAGAATGTCAAGAAAATCTTGGATGATAACTTACAATTATCCAAAAGTCACTTGTTCAGCTACAGATTGATCTCTTCTGATTTTGAAATTGCATGAGATCTTGTATCTGATCCCTAAAGATACTGTTCTGTATTTAGTAGGAGCCATTGTGATGACACGAATTCAGAGTAATACATAGGTGAAAACAGTACAAATGAGATTAGCCATATTATATAAATAAAATCAAATAAAGTAACTCTTCAAGAAAGTTTGTTTTTAAAAAGTTTAAGAGAGAGATATATAGATATATAGATATGTATATAAAGTTTGAAATATATATATATTTGATGTTTAGTAAAACTATATTTAAGAAGACATTTATCAAAAGCTGGCAAAAGAATTAGCTGTACTGTGAAAATAAGAGAATAAAAATGTTGATCGTTGAGTTTAACCATAATCTAACACCAGTATTTTGCCATTTCAAAATTAACTGGTTTATAGTAAATGTTTAAAATAAGGAGTCTTCTTTATGTAGAGACTTATGAAATAAGACTTTGAATTTTTAATTTCTATGGATGGTTTTAATGACAATACACTTTTTATGTAAAATCATCCGTAAGTGGCAGTAGGCAAAACAGTAGAGAAGGATTTTTTTCGGTTAGAGTTTACCTTCCTTGACATGTTGATTTGCCTCAATCACTTGCCCACAACCACATCACAGAATCAATACTCAAGTGTTAGTTGTGGTGTCATTTTCAACTTGATGCAGTGGACCACAGAAAAGTAAAGTTTCTTAAGTACAAAGTTCAGCGGCTTTCTCATTCCCTCCTTCTGTTGCAAAGATTATTCCCAAAATCAAATGAATAAAGAAGAGAATTATAGTCTGTATTTTAGGATTGTTAAAGGTTTTTCTGTTTCTGACAGTTTGGCTTTCTTTTGTCATTTTCTCACTTAAATGTTGTAAACTCAGAAAGTGCTAAGCTAAGATTCTTTATGTAGTGTTACACATGCCGTAAGACAATATTATTTTACCATGTCAAAGTTGTTTGCACCATTTGGAGCACATCTATCATCAAAACTCAATTAAATGGAGTCTTTCTATCTTCAACTAAAACAAACTGTTTACTTAGATTTGCTCAGTGTTTACTTCGCAAGAGGTAGAAGACCCAAATAGCACAGTAACATAGGTGTCTGGGGATATACCAGGGGTCAAAAAATTTAACCCAAAGAAGGAAGCCTTCTTTTCTGGTTGCAACAAGAGACTTTCTTTTTCTTTTGCCAAGTAAATGGCAGCATTATAATGTTATTCATACCTCACTGGTGTCCTAACAATTCCTCTATTCAAACTGAAAAGGGATATATTCTCTTTGTTGCAAAGTATTAAATTTGTCCCTTGAGATTAGTGTGTAGGCAGTTTTAAAGGATGAAACAGGATTAGATAAGGTTTCTTTACTGAGAAAGAGTTCTGAAACAGTACAGCAGAAAACCCTCTTGTATTACCTGTATTGAAAAAAATCCTTTGTTTTAACACTTCAAATCACAAGTCAAATTTATTATATTATTAGTTGACAAAATGTTTCTTTGTGGGGTTTTGTGAAAGGTAGACAAGTTACAAATAGAAAAGGAAATGACACTTGCCTTAATTGTATTTGAAATTTTATATATTTGAAATCTATCTATGGCATTTATAATTTAAATATGTTTAAAGAGATGATATTAAAAAGCTTACAGTAATTATAGTTATCTGCTTAAAGATTCAGAATGTTTCTGCCTCTCTTGATGCTATTTGGAAAGGATGAAAATCATATTGTATATCTAATGAACAGAGCCAACATTTGTTAAGCTTAAAAGCGTCAAAATTATGTCAAGGGTAGTTCTGGAAAACACATCAGTGGTTCATTTGTGTTCCACTTACCTGTTTATAGTTAATAATGTTGTTCATCACAGGAAGAAATGAATGAATATCATCAAGTTTTCAAGTGAAATGGCAGTATTTGTTTTCTTCAGAAAGAAGAAAAATTACTTGTGATAATATATTGCTTCTCTAGTTACATAATTTTAATGTTATAGGCCCTTTCTAATTACTAGTAAAGCTACTGTGGGATTTCATGGTTAAGTATTTGTGTTGGTCTTTTTTTTAAATTTTACATGGAAGGGCAGAGACTGAGTAAGGCTTTCTAGACTGCAGTAGTTACTTCTCTTTAGATGTTCACATTATTCTACATTAGTGCTTTTGCTGAATGTTATTAACCACAGGGAAAATTTTTTGTCAAAAAAGAAAGATTTGCAATGAGATCCCCCAATTTTTTTGGTGAACTCAATGTGAAAAATATATATTAAATTAAGATTGAACATAATGTTTTCCATGTGTGCAGATTTTTACAGCCTAAAAGAAAACAAAATTAGGTATATAAGATTTCTGCCAATAAAGCTTTAAAAAAAAAAAGTCCCTTTGTGTCTTGATGGAACCTTGTTATATGCAAACCAGGGAACCTTCTGCATACACTTCTCTTTTTCACATTGCTGTTAGATTATCAATCTTCTCATGGCACCACTCTGCTTCCATCAACCCCTGTTCACAAACTCTCTTGGTTTCCTCCTGTCTCCAGAAGAAAATCCAGACTCTGACTTGATATTCAAAGCCTTCCAAAGTCCTTCTCTAAGCCTCCCACCATCCCCTTTCTGAGTTAATTGTATACCAGGCTTATTAACACACCCAACCTAGATTCCCTCTAAACTGTACTCTTAGAGAGTCCTATAAGTATCACTATGGCTTGGAGCTTTCATGGCATCACTCATCTTGTTCTAGCTCCCTGTCTATCCTTTCAGTTTTTGCTTTGTCTATTTTGCCTTTCACCTGCTGTTACCTTAGGAGAGTAAATATTTGCTGGTATGTTTCTGATAGACATCCCTGTGTTGGTCCACAATACAAAGACATCCTGATGTAATACCCCTTGCCTGCATGGAAAGTTTTAAGTCGTTTTTAGAAGGCTTTGTTATTTGGCAAGCCAATAAACTTACCATGTTTTCAGGTTTCAGCATGCTCAGTGACTGGAATGTCTTTAATGTTTCTCCTAATTTCCACTTATTTCTTCTAGTTCTAAATAAAAATAAAAGTGCTAATGTTTTACACATATAACTGACATTAAAAAGTTTTAAGTGTGCATTAGTTATACAAAAACAAACATCTGGATGTTTGCAAACAGTCAATCTTGAATTAAATGTTTTTTACTATTTTCATCCTGATGTTCAAGGTCATAAAAATAGATACCTGAGGTCTGATGGTATTATAAAACTAAAACTAAAACAAATTCTATCCGTATCTTACATTTTTATGGGTGTTTGAAGCATATACATGCATCATCTTTAAATCACATTTTCCCCTTATGTCCCATTTTGAATATTCTCTATTTAAGTTGGATTTTATTTCTGTGAAACGGGCTCTTTGCAAATAATTTGAGAAGTTTTGGGAAAAAATAATTAACACAAATAATGGGGGAAAATGAACAAATATTGGATGGTATTAAAATGAGAAAGGAAAGATTTGAATAAATTAATACCATTGTTGAAAAGTGGTAGTTTTTTCCTACTTTCATGCTCACATCACAACATTCACTATGAGGAAGACCTAGGCATGGAGCTGGCAAGTGGGATTGTTCAGTCATCATTTATGGTGATGCTGGTGTTGCTTACTTTGAATTTACTGAACTTCAAAAACCATGGGAGCCATGCAAGGTAAGGTCCTAGCTTATTGGCACTTTCAAAAGTCACTTATATTTGACTTATATATTTCCACCCAGTTCTACATTTGAAGAGAAAAGAATGCTCAAATTATGTGACAAAAACTATCTTTTTTTACCACCTCAGGGCATTGGAAATCAAATATACAGTTTCCCCTACTTCAGTCATTGCCTATGAACCATAACAAAGTAAGCTTACTGATGAAAAAACTTGTACCCCTAAGTTTTGTCCGAGTTCAGAGCCTGTTTTTGTGAATGAAGACTATAAACCAGGTAGGTTCACTTCTTTGTTTGTCCTTTGTCTCTCATCAAACACTTGAAATCCTCTTTCACTAGATGGATTTGACTAATGGATTATTACATTTTGTATAACACATATTTTATGTAGTTCAACATGGTTTAATTATTCAAAGAGACTTTTGGTCAGATCAAAGATGATTCTTGCAGTCATGCTACATGAAATTTGTGCATAAAATCAGAGTTGACCCATGAAGGTTGATTTAGAAGTTTCGCAGCAGATTTTTTTTTTTATTTTTATTTTTTTCTGAGACAGAGTCTCACTCTGTTGCCCAGGCTGGAGTGTGGTGGCGTGATCTCTGCTCACTGCAAGCTCCGCCTCCCGGGTTCACGCCATTCTCCTGCCTCAGCCTCCCGAGTAGACGGGACTACAGACACCCACCACTACACCCAGCTAAGTTTTGTATTTTTTAGTAGAGATAGGTTTTCATCGTGTTAGCCAGGATGGTCCCGATCTCCTGACCTCGTGATCTGCCCTCCTCGGCCTCCCAAAGTGCTGGGATTACAGCAGCAGTTTCTAAAGCAACAAATTGAGAATCTAATATCCAGAGAAGATGGCCAAATATGGCCACCAAAGTACCTTTCTATCATTCAGAGTCTTTTAAAAGTGGTCACTATTGATTTTTAATCATAATAACAGCATCATTTATTGGGTGTTTCCAATGTTCCATGCATTGTGCTCTCTATACTACAAACTTATTTCATCGCCTCAGTGATACAATAAGTAGGCATTCTTATCCTCACTTTGTAAGTAAATAAACAAAGGCTCAGAAAACTCAAGTTATGAATCCAAATTTACACTGAGAGTGTCAGAATTGAGAGTTGAAGCCAGGTGTTTCTGAGTTAAAACCCAAATTCTTTACTGCTGTAATCTCTGCTTAAAAATGCTAATGCTAATACTAGTTTTAAAAATAATAGCTGATATAGATTGAAGATTTTCTATGTATTATCAGACATTAAATACTACATGTAATGTATCATTCAATCTTCATAACAACTATTTGAGGCTAGGTACTATTATCTCCATTTTCTTTGGAGGATAAGAACCTATAAAAGTAATGCAATGTCCTCAAGTTTACTTGGTTACAAAGAGACAAGAAGAAGGTTTTAGCCTAAGGAGACTGGCTTCATCCACTTCTCTATGTTGCCTCTCAAGACTTCCTTATTCCTGTGAATACATTGCTGTTCTCTAAGTGTATTAGTCAGGAAAAGATCATCGATGTGTCGTAACAAATGAATCCAGAATTTCAGTACCTTACAACAGCAGAATGTGATTTTTTACTCATCCTTTGTCCATTGTAGCTGTGGCTATATTCCAAATGTGCATTACAGGACGAGACTGATGGGGCAGCCTCTATCCAGACATGATCTCGTAGCAAAGCGGGTAAAAAAGACACAGTCACTCATATACTGACTTTCAAACTTCTGCCTGGAGGTTTCATGGCCATTCCTGAGTCCAGCTGTGTGCAGACAGATAATTCTCTCATGGTGGTTGGCTCCACAGTGACAGAAATCAGACTATTTCCAGAATGGGTGTGCTGGTGTCTGGCACAGTGCTGCCACAATGTGAATATCCATGCATAAGGTGACAGGATACAACTGGGATTTTTTGAGTTTGTGCCTCTTCAGAAAAACTCAGCTCTTTGATTATTAGGGAAAGATACACAAGGCAGTAGTGCAGGTTTCAAGAATTAAACAAACCAACAAACCTGATGAGCTAGTATAATATTCTTTACTAGTATATGAGGTGCACAGTTTGTAGTTTAATACTTTCATCTGCTTAGGAAAGGAGACATATTTATAGGAATGTATTGATTGAGGAGAATACATATTATTGTATCCTGCTAAGCAGTATATTTGAAACACTTTAGGTGCTTTCAAAAGCACACCTATGAGAATACATGCCTACTGGCATTTCTCAGACTAGGAAAAAAGAATGAAAATAATCTACATACCCAGTGGTAGAATATGGGTTAAATGAATTACATGTCCATTAATGGAATTCTATATAGCAATGAAAATAATATTTAATGATATAGAAACTATTCATTATATGTTAGAAAAGTCTCTTTATAAAACAATATTATTTTATAATTTTATATAATATGAATATATATATACTGAGATGGAGTCTCACTCTGTCACCCAGTCTGGAGTGCAATGGCATGATCTCGGCTCACTGCAACCTCTGCCTCCCAGGTTCAAGCGATTCTCCTGCCTCAGCCTCCCGAGCAGCTGGGACTACAGGCGCCTGCCACCACTATGCCCAGTTAATTTTTGTATTTTTACTAGAGACGGGGTTTCACTGTGTTGGTCAGCCAGGATGGTCTCGATCTCTTGACCTCATGATCCACCCGCCTTGGCCTCCCAAAGTGCTGGGATTACAGGCATGAGCCGCTGCGCCCGGCCCATAATATGAATATATATATTTATATAAAAGACATATATTAGAAAATTCACTAAAATATTAAAAGTTATCTCTATGATAATTTGTGGAGTTTTGCTTTGTTTTATTTTATTTTATTTTGTGTAAGAACTTGGGGGAAAGGGGACCTTGTCAAGAGTATTCCCAATACTTCGGATTTATTTTTAACGCAGCAAAACTTAAATTTGCTGATTATGCACCTTGGTTCTATAGTATAATTAATGTTTATTTACTGAATGTTAAGCCAGAGAGCTTCATTACTCATACATTGTTGGAAAACTATTCTAGAAAACTTTAATAATGCAGATATTTAAAAAGACTAAATTATTAGAAAACTAAAGTGTGGGATCTTTTTAAGATTGTGGTCTTTAACTACAGTAATTTGATCTAGGTTTAGGCTAGAAGACATCTTTAGAAACTATTTTAAAGAATGGATAAAAATTATTTGTAATTACCATATCATTGTTTGTTTATGTAGAGGCTGCCAAAGTATTTAGGAGTGCTTGGGAACAGTTTCTTGTCTTAAAAATATTTATTTTATAGTTTTATTTACATTTACTAGCCTGGCAAAACCTTTCATCATAGATCTATGGGAGACACTGATTTTCATGTAATTGAAAAAATATAAGCAAAGCTGTTATTTTGCATCACACAGACAAAAGAAAAAATACTCAGTTGCTTTTTAGAATCTAAACATTATAAACAGAAACCAATTTAAGATATGCTGCTTATATGTACAGAACAAGTCTTTCTGTATTCCTTGGTAAAATAGTTGCAGAAATGAAGATATATATATCTTGACATAGAGATGAATAGATAGAGATATATCCTATAGATATATCTATATAGTATTTTATATGTATAGTTATATGCAGTTATAAATGTATGATTGTAAATATATGTAAACATGTATAAGCATTCATGTAAAAATATATATATATTTATATATATACACATAGTTTTTTTCTTTCCTTATGGTTAAGCATTAGAGACATTACTTTAGAGAAGAGTAAAATACAGGTTGCGTAGTGCTCTGAATACCACTTATCCTGGGTAAATACAGGTAGACCAAATAGCTCTGCTGGCATTTGTGGACAATGCCACCGAGGAATATCAGCCTCTAAAAGCCTTGACTACGGTCAGAAAAGTTACTCACTGTTAAAATGCAAAATTTACAAAATATCAAAAATTGATTGCAGTATTACATGTTGACAACTTTATTTGTATATTGGAGATAAAAGCGGTGGGAGTTCTTCCTATAAGCAACACTATATTCTAAGCTCATTGAGCCCACGATGTCTGTCTCTCACATAGTGATGCTATCTATAAGAGTATGCTGTCACATTACTTTGTAAAATTTACTGATATATACAAAACAAAGAGAGTGCTTTTAATAATCCTGAATGTCATGCTTCCACATTTCAACAGAGACCTTAAAGATGAAGGTAGGCCTCAATTCTGATTCAATGTACAAAAGACCTTTTAAATTTCTGTTGAGAATAATTAAAGTAATACTTAAAGCATTCAGATTAACTCAGAGTTTTGTTTCAGCTTCTATTTTGGTTGCAAAAGTATGTCAGTTCTAAGTGTACCAAACTCATATGTGTTTGCTAACTTGGTTCAATGGATGATGCTG